TGTTCGGTGCCCGAGGGCCACTTTCCGGGCCACCTGGTGGACATCAGCGGCACAGGAACCCTGTCCCAGGGCTACCAGTATGAGGTGTGTCTGAATGGAGGCTCAGGAACCACCAGAGAGTTTAAGTTCCTAAAATCTGTTGCCTCCAACCATCCGGGGTCTGTGAATGGTGTGGAGGAAAACTCTAATTTTGTAAATGGTTTTGGATTCAATTAGGAATTTGTTAAATTTTCAGAGCATTCCAGGTGAAGATTAGCTCTTTTAAAATATATTATGTCTCCCTTACCAATTTTAATACATACAGATTTTCTTTGATTTTATTTCCTAGTTAAGGAGATTAGAAACTTTAAGTATATACTCATGGTCTCTTTCTCTCTGTGTGTGTGTGTGTGTTAATTCTCACCCAAGGATTTTTTTCCCATTGATTTTTTGTTTTTAGAGAGAGAGCGTGTGGAAAGGAGGGCGAGAGACAGAGACAGAAACATTGATGTGAAAGAAAAACATTGTTCAGGCAGGGCATGGAATTGAAACCTTTAATTTGCAGGAGGAGGCTCTGTTCACAGAGCCAACCCGGCTATGGCTTGTTTACTCTCTTTTTATCATTTCTATTTGACTAAGACAAAGAACTTGCAAATGTACTTCATACTAAAAAGTATGAATATTTGTTCAATTTATCAACTCTTCATCAACCACAATTGATTTGAAGATAACCCCAGGACCATTTTCTGTTTGAATGTTGTCCAGAAACATTTTTAAAAACTTTGATGTTGTGGTTTCTTAGGAGACAGGCATGATACAAATCTAATGAGTTATTAAGGTATCTTCAGCTTAATATATTATGTCTACCCATCTAAAATTTTTGAATGGAGAAGTGTCTGCAAAAATTGCATGTTTTTTTTTCACAGTAGTATTAAATAGAAAAACAATGATTTCTCCCATACTGGATTTTCACCTCTTTATATCAACCTTCAGTATATGATATATATGAGTATTATTTTTAAATTAAATTTATTGGGATGACATTGGTTAATAAGATTATATAGGTTTCAAATGTACATTTCTATGATGCATGAGCTGTATATTGCATTGTGTGCCCACCACCCAAAGTCAAATCATCTTCTGTCACCATAGTGAAAGAGTATTAGATTATTTCCAAATATTTAAATAATAGATCCTACCACATCTCTTTCTGGAAACTTCTCTCTTCAGTAGATGTCTACTGTTGCAGCCATGTTTATTTTAATGACCCCTCTCTTTTTGTGATTTCAGACAGTCAGACAAGACATTGCTTATCCAAGCTGTGCCAATCTGATTCTCTCTCTGTTTAAAAAATTGCTTTGGAAACCAGATATAAAATAGTCTCTTTGTTAGGAACTTAATAAGAAAATGATATTATGCTAGCTAAATACATGGAAAGCACAGAAAATCAATCCACTTAGAGACAAGAAGGAAGGAGATGCCCAAAGAACAACCTAATTGTATATTTTCCATTTTCTCCCAAGTTTGCTTTCTCCTTTGGGTTTTTGGAAATAAATGGTCTTTTAATAAATTTCTCTCTAATTAAGATAGCTAGGTGGTTTTTTTCACTTGTCAAAAGCATGTTTACATATTCTTATATGGATTAAAACTTACTATTAATCTGGAACATAAGTTGTGGTTGTCTCCCTGGCTGGGTTGCTCAGTTGGTTAGAGAGTCATCCTGATACACCAAAGTTGTGGGTTCAACCCCACTCAGGGCACATACAAGAATCAACCAATGAATGCATAAATGAGTGGAACAACAAAATGATGCTTCTCTCTAAAATCAACCAGTGGTAGAGCATGGGCCTTTGAACCAAAGGATATCAGGGTTGGATACCTGGTCAAGGGCAGGTACCTGGGTTGCAGGTGGGAGGCAACCAATCCAGGAGTCTCTTTCACATTGATGTTTCTCTCTCTCTCTTCTCTTCCCCCCTTCCATTATCCTAAAAAAAATCAATGGAAAAAATATTCTCAGGTGAGGATTTAAAAACATTGTAATTATATAAATTTAACAATAGTTGGGTCAAAAGATGGTGGAATATTAGTAATTTGTAAGGGACACGCGCAAACTTTTGTTAGACTGCATATTTTTGAGAATTGATGGATATTTCCAAATTGTACACTTTATATAGAAATTCTTAGAAAATTCTATATAAGAAATATTTAATAGCATTAGTGTCATAATAGCATTAGTGTGAATTAACACTGACAATGTAAAATACGTTTTAAAGAAATGTATACCCTATTTGTAGAATCATTATAGCCTGGTTGTTTTGTTCTTTCTTTTTTATAATGTATCCTTTTGTTTAGGGGTGAGCAAGGGTATTTTGCTATTTAATGAAAAACATTTTAGATCATTCTGAGTTATATTAAATTACTATTCAAAAGAGCATAGCTACTTGGGAGCATGGTTTCTCATATAATGAATTAAGATTACAGCAAAAAAAATATGGGCTTTTGCATTAGGAGGAGAATCCATCTGTCAAAATTTTTACATTGTGATTTCTTCATTGACATATTCAACAAATATTTATTGAGCATCTGCCATGTGCCTGGGACTAGCTGTTGAAGAATATCAAAATAAAAAGTTTTGGAACTCTAGGATGACACAGAAAAGAAATAAGTAAGCATGCTCTATCAGATGGTGATCAATGAAGCATGCTCAGAGCTAAAGAAGTGTTCTCATATGCATTTTCCTGTAGTTTAAAAGGTTAAAATATCATAACTCTCTGACTTCAAGTAGAAAGAATATGTAAACTGCAATGAACTAGTAGCTTTTTTCTGTGATGTGATTAACCAATAATAACCACAATTCTGGCATATAGGCTGTCTAGAATCTGAAAGAAAATCTAGAGGAATTCATTCATTTTTGCTGAGAGAATTTTAAGGAATCATATAGCTTGACTCTTATTTTTACAAGATGACTGATCACTAATAAGTCTTCTTTCACCTCTCAGTTCTCCAGAACATCCCCCCAAAACTACAGGTTCTGGAAGATAAAAACCATGTCTGGGTTGTTTACTAATGTAGCTCAGAACCTAGTACATTATATCAATAATAGATCTTTGAATGAATAAATAATTTTAATTGCATGGTTTTCTGATTACATCATATCCCAAAAAACATTTCCAAAACTCCCAATAGATAACTGGTATTACTAGATAGATAAATGATTGGGATTACTAGATTACTATAGGTACATACAAATAGAGAATGCAATTGTAGCAAATTTTTTCGAAGACAACGCATGGTGGCGCTGCAGGCTAAGGCGAAGAAAAAGAAAAAGAAAAAAAAAAGAGCCCAGGAAATTCAACTAATTCAACCTCAGATCGCTAGAGGAGGAGAAAAGCCTGTAACGGAGCTGAGGACCAGAGAGTGTCCAGAGAATGCTACTCAGCAACATTTCAGGACAGATTACCAACTGAGAGATCCATCCCTATCGCAGTCCCATTGCTCCCTAAGGTAGAGCTGGGCCCGGTTCCTGGAAAGGTGTTTGTGAAATAAAGATGGAGGTCGGAGAGGAGCGCTTTCCTAAACAAAGGCAAGTCCTGGTTCTCTTTCTTTTGGTGGGAGTGGCTGTGGCAGGATGGGAATCCCGTCGCTATTCCGTGATGGAGGAAACAGAGAGCGGCTCCTTTGTGGCCAACTTGGCCAAGGACCTGGGGCTGGGAGCCGGAGAGCTAGCTGCGCGGGGAGCCCGGGTGGTCACTGAAGATAAGGAACCCCGATTGCAGCTTGATCTGCAGACCGGGGACTTGATATTAAATGAGAAACTGGACCGGGAGGAGATGTGTGGCTCCACTGACCCATGTGTGATGCATTTCCAAGTGTTACTGAAAAAACCATTGGGAGTATTTCGAGCTGAGCTACTGGTGAGAGACATAAATGATCATTCTCCTGAGTTTTCTGAAAGAGAAATGACGCTGAGAATCCCAGAGACTAGCCCTCCTGGGACCGTGTTTCCTCTGAAAAAAGCCCAGGATTTGGACGTGGGCAACAACAACATCCAAAACTACAGCATCAGTCCCAGCTCCCATTTCCATGTTTCCACCCGCGACCTAGGAGATGGCAGGAAATACCCCGAGCTGGTGCTGGACAAGGAGCTGGATCGTGAGGAGCAGGCCCAGCTCAGATTAACCCTCACAGCCCTGGATGGCGGCTCTCCACCCCTGTCTGGCACCGCCCAGGTGCACATCTTGGTCTTGGATGTCAATGACAACGCCCCTGAGTTTGCACAGAGACTGTACCACGTGCAGGTCCCTGAGAACAGCCCTGTAGGTTCCCTAGTTGTCAAGGTTTCTGCTAGAGATTTAGACACTGGGACAAACGGAGAGATATCATACGCTCTTTCTTATAGTTCTCAGGAGATAAGCAAAACTTTTGAAGTAAACAGCCTTTCAGGAGAAGTTCGGCTAATTAAAAAACTAGATTTTGAGACAATATCCTCATATGAGCTGGATATAGATGCCTCTGATGGCGGGGGACTTTCAGGAAAATGTTCAGTCTCCATTGAGGTGGTGGATGTTAACGATAACTCCCCAGAACTAACTATTTCATCACTTACCAGCCCCATTCCCGAAAATTCCCCCGAGACAGAAGTGGCCCTGTTTCAGATTCGAGACCGAGACTCGGGGGACAACGGAAGGATGACTTGCTCTATCCAGGATGATCTCCCCTTCCTTCTGAAACCAACTGAAGAGAATTTCTACACCCTGGTAACGAATGGGGCCCTGGACAGGGAGACCAGAGCCCAGTATAATGTCACTATTACAGTTTCCGACTTGGGGACCCCCAGGCTGAAAACCCAGCACAACATCACCCTGCTGGTCTCCGACGTCAACGACAACGCCCCCGCCTTCACCCAAACCTCCTACACCCTGTTCCTCCGCGAGAACAACAGCCCCGCCCTGCACATCGGCAGCGTCAGCGCCACAGACAGAGACGCGGGCGCCAACGCCCAGCTCACCTACTCGCTGCTGCCGCCCCACGACCCGCAGCTGCCCCTGGCCTCGCTGGTGTCCATCAACGCGGACAACGGCCACCTGTTCGCCCTGAGGGCGCTGGACTTCGAGGCGCTGCAGGCGTTCGAGTTCCGCGTGGGCGCCACG